ATGACTATAACTCCCAGGTGGGTCATAAGTATGATTAAACATTTCGGTAAAATTCTTAATTTCATTCTCAATCCTCCCAGAGTGATACTTATGAAGCAATAAAGAATAAAATATAATAAAACAAGGCAAGTACACGAAACTCAAAAAAATGAGGGTGGGAGTGCAGCACCTCTTCCCATGATGAGGCTCTGCAAACATCGTGCCAAATCAGAGGAACTTTGTCAGACTCTGGCCAGAGGATCCTTGTCAAACTCTGGCTTCTTGGATTTGGTGCGCCCCCGCAGTCAGAGGGAATAAAAAGAAGTAAAGAATAAAGTAAGAATAAAGAAAGCCTACAAGACTGGCTTCTTGGATTTGGTGCGCCCCCGCAGTCAGAGGGAATAAAAAGAAGTAAAGAATAAAGAAAGCCTACAAGATTACAAGACGTATTGGACACCAGTAAGTGAACAAATGTTAAAATAATAGTTATTCCAGAGAGAGAAGAAATGTAGTAAGGCACAGAAACCCTACTTAATGAAATAACAGCTGAAAAGTTCCCAAGTATTGGGAGAGATATAAAAATTCACAATCAGGAAGCTCAAAGATCCCCAGTTAAAACCAACCAAAAAAGATCCTCTCTGAAACAACCAAAAGTCAAAGACAAAGAGAATTCTAAAAGCTGCAAAAAATATATAAGGGAATCTCCCATTAGACTATCAACAGATTTCTCAACAGAAACCTTGCAGGCTAGGAAAGAATAAGATAATATATTCAAAGTACTGAAAGAAAACAACTGTCAGCCAAGAGTGCTTTATCCAGCAAAGCTGTCCTTCAGAAATGAGAGCAAAATAAAGGCCTTACGAGACAAGCAAAAGCTTGTGGAATTCATCAGTACTAGATGAACCTCGCAAGAAATCTTAAGGGAGTTGCTACAACTAGAAATGAAAAGATAACAATTACTATTATGAAAACATGAGAAAGTATAAAACTTACCTGTAGAGGTAAATTCATAATTCAAACTCAGAACACCTCAGGGAGGTAATGGTGCTTTTTAAATCCTTCAATCCTCTAGTATGAAGGTTTAAAGTCAAAACAGTCAGAAACAACAACAGCTACAATTTGTGGCTACAGAACATACAATAAATATAAAAGTAAATTAAGGCAATGAAAATATAAATTGGGAGCTTAGGTCCAGAATATTTTCATGAGACTAAAGTTAGGTTGCTATCAGCTTAAAATAGTTTATTATAACTACAAGACTATTCATGTTAGCCCTGAGGAAACCATGATAAAAGAAATTACAGCAGATACACAAATGAAATGGAAAAGAGAAAGAAAACAAAGCTCACCACCACAGAAAACCACCAATCCCCAAAAGTAGATATTGAGAGAAAAAGAAAGGAAATAAGGATTGGCAAAACAACCAGAAACAATTAAGAAAATGACAAGAATAAGTTCCCACATATCGGTAGTAACCTTGAATGTAAATAAATTAAACTCTCCAATTAAAAGACATAGAGTGGCTGAACGGATAAAACAAAACAAGACCCAATATCATGCTACCTATGAGAGAGTCACCTACTAATAAAGATAAATATAGACTCAAAATGAAGGGCTGGAAGAAGATATTCCAGGTGTATGGAAACCAAAAGTGAGTGGGAGAAGCCATACTTATATCAGATAAAAAAATTTTAAATCAAAAACTGTAAAAACAGACACAGAAGGTCATTATATAATGATAGAGAAATGACTTCAACAAGAGGATACAACAATTGTTAACACATATTCGCCCAACACTGGAGCATCCAGATACACAAAGCAAACATTATTAGACCTAAGGTGAGAAATAGATCGCAACTGAATAATAGTAGTAGACTTTAACACCTCATTTTCAACAATGGACAGTTTATCAAAACAGAAAATAAAGACATAAACACCAGACTCAATCTTCACTATAGAACATATTAATCTTATGGACATTTATAGAACATTCTATTCAATAGCTGCAGAATATACATTCTTCTCAACTGCACATGGAACATTCTCCAGATAGATTATGTGTTAAGCCATAGAACAAGTCTACACAAATTTAAAAAGACAGATCTTATCAAGTATTTTTTTCTGATCACAGTGGCATGAAACTAAAAATCAACAATGAGAAAAACTTCAGAAACATTACAAATACAAGAAAATTAAACAAAATACTCCTAAACAACTAATGGATTAATAAAACATTAATAGGAAAATTAAAAAATTCCTTCAGAAAAACAAGAATGGAAATATATCATACTAAAACCTATGGGATCCAATAAAAGCTGTTCTAAGAGGAAAGTTTATAGCAATAAATGGCTTCATCAAAAAAGAAGAATGATTTCTAAGAAACAATCTAAATGATGCACTTAAAAGAACAAGAAAAGCAATAACAAACTAAACTCAAATTTTGCAAAAGGAAAGAAATAATAAAGCCCAGAGCAGAAATAAATGAAAAGGAAACTAAGAGAAACTGAAAAGATCAGCAAAATGAAGAGCTGTTTTTTTGAAAAGATAAGGAAAATTGGCAAAGCTTTAGCTAGACTAAGAAAAAAAGAGAGA